CCTGGCTGAATCCAGCACAAGAGGTTTGAAGTGGTCACCTGCTTACGGGGTAACCCTCAGATCCTACAAGAGACATATAAAAAAATACTGTGTTCAAAGTTTTCTGGCAATTTTTGACAGAAATGATTTCTTTCAGCCTCAATGTTAAAAAGACAGTATAGGTGGGACGTTTGCCTAGTATTGGCTCTGCTCTTCCCACCTCTTCAGGACCAGACACAAGTTAGCAATTGGACCAGCTCACTTTCTAGCATATATTTAATCTAAGACAACTTTTCTTAAGTACGTGGAGCAGACTATCCATGACTGCAAGAACTACCCGCAGTTTACATTTCAGTTTTGCAGAACATGCTCTGCAGCAGTCCTAGTAAAAATTAAACATGCAAACCTTTAAGAAGGATGATGAAAGAATTAATACTCACTCTGTCTGATCTCTGGCTAGGGCATTTAAACTCCATTTTCTCATCAGCAACGTCAACTTTAGTTTTTCTTCCTGTGTTGTGCTGCAGTCCTGTTATGACAGCAGCTTCCACGTGAAAGGGCTCAACAGAAGATTTATGTAGTGCTAATTAAGAATTTTGAGATCTTTCCTGATCAGAAAGTGCTCTACCTGTGAGAAGTACCCCAGGTTCCAGACACCCATTATGAAGAGCATTCGTGACAAATCTTGAGGATATTTTTAACATTAAAATTGCCCACCTAAGTCCATTTTCGTGTCTCATTATAGCATTTTTCCAGTGTGCTCCACACTCACCAATACAACCTAAAAGCAAAACGAGTCGGTTAAATCCCACCTCACAATTATTTTGATGTCTGTATCTCCAAGGCGCTTGAGTTTTAAAAGGCCTGTGAATTGAAAACTGACAGGGATAAACCAGTTGCTGCAGTGAAGCGTATTTGAACCACACCAGCAGAAGAACGATGGGCAGCAGGATGTTCAAGAGCAGAAGCTGGAGAAGGCAGAACATTAGGGCCTGAATTGGCATGTCCTGTAATGAGATAGCGGAGCTGTGAGGAAGGAAGGAGTCAACACATTGCAGAGAGAGTTGGGGATGCTAAAAACATATCCTTCAGACTCACCGCGACTGGCAGGGAGAGCACAGCAGCCCACGGCACCCCTTGCTGTGCACAAGCAGCCAGGTGCTCCACACACACATGCTGCCCTCGTGCAGCACACTCTGCGGCAGCACCGCTGGAGCCAGGGAGCCGCCACCACACTGAATTCCACCATCTCGACGACTCAGCCAAAGCTCTTTTCTCAAAAGCACAATTCTTCAACATTTGCTATCTCTCTTCACAAAAAGGGAAAAGGATCTGTTCCCTATTTCTCCAAGATAAATGCAACTGTCAAATCTTGACAGAAAATTAGAGTAACAACTACTCTCTCCAAAAAGGTGACTGGGATGAATTCGTGCGGAGCAAACTTCTACTTCAAAGACAATCATCCAACTCCAGTTATGGGAAAGACAAAACACTGACAGATCTTTCTAAAGCACACTGTGGATATTCAAGTTTAACACAGATTTATGTAGCAAAACAGCCCATCACTGTAATTCTCCCTTCTAAATGCACCCGTGCTTCGTCGCACCGCTCCAGAAGTCAAACACAAACACAAGCTCTTTGGATCTGCTTTTTAATATACCAATATTAACCTTTCTTTTGATAATATATATACAATGAGAAATTAAAAATTATCTTAATTTAAAGATTGACAACGAACCCATTCCAAATCAGACATACAGGTACATTGACCTTTACAGATTTTGTACCAAGACCATCACAATTATAAAGAGAGCCGAAGTAGGCCATTTTACAAATATTTTTTTACAGTCAATCGCCCAGTTTTCTCCATGGCACAAAACAGAGACAAATTATGAGATGGCTCTATAAAAGCAACTGTAAAACACCAAAGGACAAAACACAACTGATACGGGTCACTGGGCATTTTGTGGAAGGGGAATCCACTCGGATACTTTGGGATGCAGGCACAAGGACGTGTTGCCTTCTACTGACCCGAGACGATAGATCAGAGTAAGAGGGCTGGTTAGGCTATCTTCACCTAAAAACATTCTGCCAACTATTTGAAATCCTCCATGTCTTTTAAGACTGTGTAAAAAATCCTGGCTTATTGAGAAAGAACCAAGAAATCACATCAGTTTAACAACCCGGTGCAAGGAAGATGTTACAAACTCAATTACACTGCTAAGGCCTGCCAAGCTGAGATCAGCCCCAAAAGAATGGCCAATACTGAAGCGACTACTATGCAGTCACAGCTACCCTTTCAAAGCAAACTTTTCAAGGGAAATATGCTGGTATTTCCTGATGCTCAAGCACCAGGACATAAATAAACAGGATGATTCAGAAGGAAAAGTTCACGTGAATGAACCTGAGAGGCTGCAAAGGAGAAACAGTGAGCGACAAACCTTCCTCTACCTTGTGACACCCACTGTGCAGTCAGCAGTTGTTGTCACTGCAACAGCTATCCTTCTAGCTCCCCAGCAGCCCCTCCCCCAGCAACTTAGGAATGAAACAAAGACTGGAGCGAAAAACATTTACTAGTAATTAAACGTTCCCAGAGAATCGGACAATACAGTTTACAGGCCCATCCCAGGGGAGTTACGAAGTGAAGCATCCCCTCAGAGCTATTATTCCAATATGATTTTCATTCACAGCACATCCACTGCATTGGGCAATAAGATAAGTCTTAGTGGGGGTGAGACAAATAGGAGCAGATGTTTCCTGTTTCCAGCCTGACTTTCATTTGGTTTCTGTCATTGCTGCCTATCCAGCTTAGGAGAGGGGGTGAACCGTGATGCCTAACACTTGTCCTATTGTTTGGAGTTTGGCAAAATCTGAGGAATAAGGTTGCTCGCAGTGGAGGAGAAAAACAGCCCATCGAGCAGGATGTCTCTCAAACTGGCAGCAATGGAGGTTTCAAAAGACAGTCAAATCACCCATGGTGATACCAGTCGATTACCAAATCTGGTAACCAACATTTTATCAGTGGAGCTGCAACAGAGATGCCTTTCTCGGCCTAACCAGGGATCATCATTAATACTGGGTAATCCTTAATAAAGGCAAGAGATAACAGTCCAAGTAATTTTATTTCTAATTTTTCTGGATTAAATTTTCCAATTCAGGTTAATTTCAGTATTGGAACACAATTCCAATGCTTGTGAGAAATGTGAAACTTCTCCAAAAGCTTTCCTAAGCTGTATGTTTCAGTGGCAGCCTGTGGCAATGGGTTCTTTAGCTAAATAAGCAAAGACCCAACAGTTTTTCCAGCAATGGTAACTTGTAGGAGACTGTAAGTGTGCGTTAATAGTGTCTTGCACGTACACATATCCCTGTGCATCAAAGCCGTGACTGGGAATTTCTGTGAAGTGTCTCACAAATCAGTACTACCACAGGCCGCTTGCTGGGATTCAGTGAGATGTGAAAACCTGACCTGACAGCTGTTGCTTCAATGTAAAATTGTAACCCGACTGCCCTTTTGATAATGAAAAGCAAAAATAAGGACTGAAAGGTACATCCTTTTTTGTACAATCAAGTAATTTTGATGCAGTCACAGTCTCTTGCATGGACACAACAGAAAACCTGAGATTTACGCAGGAAGAAGTGCAGCAATTTGAGTTCTGTCCTGCAGGTCTCTGCTTTGAAGGAGACCATCTTCCCAGCTGCTGTGTGACTCAATTCACATCAAAATTATTTAAGTAAACCAAAATGCTTTGCCCTTTAAACCATGTGACAACACACAGATTTTCGTTGCTGCTGATGTAAAAAAATAAACATTTGTCTCACTAGGCAGAAAAAAAACCTGTTGGTTATATAGTCGATTAGGCCAAGAATTAAGCTCAAAAGACAGAGGCCCACCAACCACACAGGCAATAAGGTCTCCCCAGAAGAGAGCAGCTATACATTGCAGAGAGTTGCTTTGAATGGATGGATGCTTACAAGCCAGAGAACTGCAGCATGTTCGATAGAAGAGGTCAGTCATGCCAGTCAGACCACACAGCACGAGATTCTGTTTTATTCTTCCGGGTGCATAGCCTCCTTTGGAGCAAAGTGTGCGTTTGACATTTCTGGGAGGACCCATGAATAGATTCAATTCCTCTGCAAGCAACAGAGAAGCAGTTATTCAGCTTTCCATACATCTTCGTGCAATGTAAAGGGAAGACAACATACCAGAATACAACATTAATTCCCATCTCCCTCAGATGCAGCCCACTCTCTAGCCATTTTTTTCTTCAGGGCCTTATACTCCTCACAGCACCTCTTTGGCTGTCGTTCTCATCACCCAGGTCTGTCACACAGCTGCCTCTACAAGCTGCCGATATTGGGAAAACTCTTCAGTTTCTCAGGAAAGTCATCTTTGTACAGGACAGGGTCAGCACGGTGCTCCACCACTTTCAGCGGCATGGTCCCAAAGACGGAGGCAAACTTATTGATGCATTCAGACCTGGTGAAAGGGAAAGCAATGTAATTAAGAACCCCAACAGCTGGGCTGACTGCCAGCTCCCAAACCAACATAATTGGTGGAAACCTTCCCTCTTGCGCTTGGAAGTATTTCAGACATGTAAATGTATTTCAGGTACTAGTAAATAAGAGAGCCTCGCTGCAGAGAGAATTGAAAAGAAGCTGGTGTTCTTTGATTTATCCATTTAATCACAGAGACGAGCAAGGGGATGCTGGCAGCAGCACATGTGCACATGGAGGTCAAAGCTTCCCTCTTCCCTCCCCGCAGAATTCCAGTCATTCTTAAAGCAATGTATATGCTGTAAACCCGAACAGATTAACTGCCAACATGTCTCTTAAAGGGCCACTGTTGGGTCAATTTGGCTCATAATGAAGGATTTTCAAACCCCAAGCCTTTGTAAAAATGGAGTTCTGAAAAAAAAAGACAGGCTAGGTTTTTTTTCAGGCTTCTTCAGCAGCTCTATCTTTTCCCACAAAATTAAACATGCCTCAGTGTATAGGCAGTGCTGATCATGCTGTCATTTAAAAGTGAACCTGAAAAAAAACCTGTAAAATGAAACCAACTAGTTTATTTTCCTTGTCTAAATAAAGAGATATTGAGCACTAAGGCACCACATTAGCACAGAAAAGGTCGGATCATTGATGATTTTCAGCTTTAATAACCGCAGGTGTCAGTCATGCCACGGAAGGGAACAGCCATGCGCTTCGGAAAAGAAGCAAACAGATGTTCAACCTTACATTGCTCCTTTCACTCTTTCACTGAAAGGCATGGTACCTGTGGAATCACGGCAGGGAAACTTGGCTCACCCCAGCCAGTGCTCAGCTCACTAACATTAGCCGTGGAGTTCACAAAACAGCTCTTAAGAACTTCAGACACCAAGAATCATGACAACAGTCCCCGACACCTAACACAGCAGAGACAGCTACAAGAAAACAGCTCACCTTTCTTTTGCTGTTCAAAAGGGAAGACAAAAAAGAAGTGAGTACTTTGACTCAGCTACTGAGGCTGATGTGCCGCAGGCGGTCCCAAAGCAGGTTTCTCCCTCTTCAAGACTACTTTCGAAGCATCGGGGGGTCACTACGGCTCCAGGATAATTTTCCTCAACAGACCCCGGTCAATCACACCAACCAAGTGTGACAGTTTTGTGATGGGGACTGCTCAAAGCTGCCCCAAACACTCTTTTGAAGTAGATGGCACAGCAAGACTAGTTTTCAAAATTAATTCCTCAGCCTCTGAGCCACCCCATGGCTCCCTCCTTAACTAGAGTAGATGACTGGGAAACACAAAGCCCAGGTTGTTCAAGTGCTACATCTCCACACAGCTGTTTCAGGCTTTAATGGTCATGTTTCAGGCCATTTTCTGTCCTGAGAAAAGTGTCAGAAAACTACTTCATATGGGTGATACCACAGTAAAATATTTATACAGGTAAAAGCAGGTATTTCACTTTCTGCTATCTTCTTGTCCCCTCATACTTCTTCCTACCTGGAGATTCAAATCTCTGGACTAGCAAAAAAAATGGTAAGGAATTCAGGGTGTAAGAGGAAACCCCGTGCAGTGGGAAGCAACCTCTAGACCTGGCACAAGCAAAATTTGCTCCAGAGTAGCACAGATCTGAAACAGCGAAGGAGCCATCAGTCAGGACAGAAGCAGAGACCCAAGGAACTGTTCAACGTCTGCAATAACAAGGTGAACCATGGGGAGGGTGAGCTCTGGGCCCTGGGCACAGCAAGGTTGCAGTAACACAGAGAACAGGAACAGAGCGTTTTCTCCAGGAGCACTAAGTAGTTTCTGTTGCCTCCATGAGACATCCAACGTAAGGTACTTTAAAGACACCTGATTTTCAGGTAAGGTCAGACTTCCAAATCACCTGTTACTTGAGAAATATGGCTAACTGCAATCCAAGTTGTGTGTGTTGGAGAAGTCTTGAGACAGGAAAAGCACAAACTTCACAGGGGAGAAGGTAGATGCACCGGGAGATGTGCATGTGAGAAGTTTGCACAGCTGCCAGCCCTCACTGGCTTCTGGAATATAAGAATATTTCTAGTCTACTGGTTCAAATCCTGCCTCTGCCAGTAATGACAGAAAGACATTGTAATGTAACAGCTGCTTGGTGGCTGGTGTGAAATGAATTAGTTATCTCAGCCTGCTGCCTGGTAGGCAGGTGTCCACATCAGATCAGCCATTGTCACAACCGGAACTAAGTGGCACCCTCGGAGCAAAAGACAAAACCAAATGGACAGAAGAGACAAAACTGACCTCTTCCCTCGAAAGGTTCTACTCCCAAATCAAAGGTGAGGTGTTAGGAGAAAATACTAAGATGGAATTCTTCTACAGCCAAACTTATGCTGGTGGCAAGACAATTCAAGCCCACCAGAACAGTATCTTTAACCACCAAGAAACGACTTCATTGTTAAGAAAATGATCTAATCATCCTGGCTGAATAAGAAAAGTTAGTCCTCAAGAAATAACAGATTCAAAATTCAAGCCCACCAGAACAGTATCTTTAACCACCAAGAAACGACTTCATTGTTAAGAAAATGAACAAGGAAAAATCAGTATGTTCTAATCAGCCTGGCTGAATAAGAGAAGTTAGTCCTCAAGAAATATCAGATTCAAAGATCAGAAATGGGCTTTTTTTAAATGAAAGAAATGACATACACAAGCAACGAAATGTGTTCTGAGGCAAGCCCTCTTCCCAAATATTTAATCTCCTGCACTGAACTAAATCACTTGAATTCCAAAGCCACTGCCACTTTTGGACAATATAAACCAGAAAGGGTATCCATAACATTAAATATTCAAAGCTAGGTAGTCAAGAGAATGTAACATGTCATCGTAATATGGAAGGAAGGTGGGTTTTTTTGTTGTGTCAATAGTTTTGCAAATTTATACTAATAGAGGCATCTTTGGTTCCAAGAATTATTCTTTTTTTTTCCTTGCTCTGCTGACAACATGCAGTTGTGCTCAACAGGGAATTAAGGTTGTGTGAACTCAGAAATTGAGATCCCTGTTGCCGCTGGCAGACTGGGTGAACTTCCTGGCTTTTAAGGTCTCTCTTAATCAGTTTCCCCTCCCTTATAACCTAAATATTTTTTGGCAGGAAAACTCTGTACCTGCACTCTTTGGCCAACTGTTACCTGGTCAGTTTGCCTCTTAAGGGAATGGCTTCCTATTTTGACTCTAACAAATACTTACGTGTCCTAAATAAGACACTGCTGTTAACATTGCTGCAGAAGCAGCTCAACCCTTTGCTGTATTTACTGTACAGGCAGTTGCCTTCTAGGCTGCATTTTACAGCATTCTCCATTTTTCAGAGCCAGATGCAAAGATGCTAAAGGCAAAAAACTCGTTGTTACTTAAAGAGCACAGGGATTATGAGATATTTCTACAGCTTCTTCTGTGACCTGATGTAAAGGCTAACCTAGGGCAAGAAGGGGATTCTTGATTCAAAGCTTTCTTTAGCTAATGTATTTTAATGATGGAGTTCGAGAATCCTGGGGACTGAAGTCTGTTATTTATCTCAGAGAAATTTCACAGCAAGAAGAATAGCACTGATGGTTTTCCCACATGTGCTGGTTTTGATTGGGATAGGGTTAATTTTCTTTGTAGTACCTAGCGTGAGGCTAAGCTTTGGATTTGTGCTCAGAAGAATATTGACAACACACTAATGTCTTTAGTTGTTGCCAAGCAATTACATTAAGCCAAGGACTTTTTCAGTTTCTCATACTGCCCCTGTGTTCCCAGCTCTTTCTCTACAAGAAGCTGTGAGGAGACACAGCCAGAAGAGCTGACCCAAACTGACCAAAGGGATATTTCATGACATAAAACGTCAAGTTGTGGGGGAGTTGGCTGGGGGAAGGGCGGGGTTTGGTGCTCTCACTCTCGCTGCTTGGGGACTGGCAGGGCATTGGTTGGTGGGTGGTGAGCGGTTGTATATTTTGTTCATTTGTTTTCCATTGTTTTCCTTTTCATTACATATTATCATTATTATTAGTATTATTTTAATTACATATTAGTAGTATTAGCATAATTATTTTATTTCATTTACTTTCAATTATTAAGCTGTTATCTCAGAGCTGACCCAAACTGACCAAAGGGATATTTCATGACATAAAACGTCAAGTTGTGGGGGAGTTGGCTGGGGGAAGGGCGGGGTTTGGTGCTCTCACTCTCGCTGCTTGGGGACTGGCAGGGCATGGTTGGTGGGTGGTGAGCGGTTGTATATTTTGTTCATTTGTTTTCCATTGTTTTCCTTTTCATTACATATTATCATTATTATTAGTATTATTTTAATTACATATTAGTAGTATTAGCATAATTATTTTATTTCATTTACTTTCAATTATTAAGCTGTTATCTCAACCCATGCGTGCATTTTCTGCTCGTTTCCTCTGATTCTGTGAAGGTGAGCGAGTGGCTGTGTGGTGCTTACTTGCTGACTGGGGTTAAACTATGACATCACTATTTGCTGTAAATATCCTTCAGTACTGGTCCAAAAAAAAAAAAAAAATCTCTTAAGAGAGTTCAATTGTCTCACCTTTCCTTTGTCTCTGCTGAGACTGTCAAAAGGCCCAACAGAACTGGGTAGTTACATCTCTCTCAGCAGAGATCTCCACAACTGATTTCTCAAACCTTTTACGCTCACAAAACAAATCATCAGGCAGTTGCTAGGCATCTCTGCTATTTCTGAACCAGAAACCTAACACTAAATGTTGTGCATGCCCATGACAACCCCGACAAACTGTTTGTGAAACAAACACTAGGTTGATCCCTGGATATCCAGGCAAGTAATTAGCTGGGACTACCTGCTCACTATTTCTGAATGCTGAAAAATGAGGTGTCAGGCACTTTAGGAAGCTGCAAATGAAGCTGAAAACAGACTTTTGCCTGATACTCCAGGTATTGTTCTCCGTACCCAATGCTGTAAAGTTATCTGTACAAAGTTATTATTTATAATACTCTTTTATAATATGACAAGTATCCCTGATGCATAAACTTTTTCCATTCAGCTTCTCTCCTGACCCTGAAAATAGGTAGTGTGTGTGTACATATATACAGAGAGATATATATGAGCCGTAAGAGCCTTACTCACTTGTAAGTTAGGAAAATTTGCTCTAGGAGTTGCTATCATTTATTATCCACTTAAAATTAACAGCTAGCATAGAAGATTTGAAAGAAGAGACCCTTTCAGATTTTCAAATAACTTCCTTATGTTGAAGGTAGACAATAACATCACAGGGCAAGAAGGTATTAGGTGCAGCATGCAGTTGCAGTATGATATTAATGATCTTCAAAATGAAGCCTGAATACTCCCAAACTGTATATCCCGCCAGATTTTCTCTTGCACCCAGATTCGATCCTGGCATGTACTCCTTTGTCTGGGCAAATAAAAGTATGTGGATGTGCAGTCAATCTAGGATTTCCCAGAACCCAGTTATCTCCACTGTTGGAAATTACAGAGAAGCAAAGCAACAGTTTAAACATGTTCTCAATAAACTGTCAGTGTTACTTTACTCTGAGGATACAAGAATTGCTATAGACATGGAAACATGACCTTTACCCTGCAACATAATGCACTTTGGAGCAAAGCACTTTTTCATCTTCTGTTGTTATAGTGTTTACCTTAATGAGAAGCTAGTTCATGACCAAAATTCCTATGTGCTGTTGTAATGCTACTAGTATGATCATGCTGAAGCTCAACTGGCATCAGGTAGTCCATCCCGTAAACCAGTGCAGAATTGCTGGACAAAGACAACCTCTGATGCTTCCCCTTCAGCTAACGTTTAAGATCTACAAAGCTTTCGGCTCATTCCTTAAGATGTTTCCTACAGAGTAATTTTTACCATCTTCATGGGGCATGTTTTAACCTCTGACTTGCCTACTCCTTTTCTAATCCAGCCTTCTTATACATCCGGTCTAAATACTTTGTCACTAACCTTGGTGGTTACACTCTTCAATGCCTGGTGTGATGCTTGGTTAATAATCAACCAGCAAAACTATATATGTGTTTGTGTGTGTTGTGTAATGTGTGTTTACACATCAGACACACACACGTATGCACTCTTCTTGTAGATAAGCCCCCAATCTACTAACCAGTTTTGTATTAGTTCACTGCATATATTACAATACATAAATATCATTTACATTGCTAAAGGTCAGTAAATTGATACAACACTTTAAATTTGCTGAACACTGCAGAGAAGGAGAGAAAAACTGCAGAGAAGGACAGAAATAAAGCTTACTGTTAAGATTATAACCATGATAACCGGTAAGGTGACAACCATGTTACGTGTCTCATTCCAAACCTGAAATGGTCTATTATAAATGCAGGTCAGATTTTTAAAATTTTGTCACCTCTTCTGGTGGTCTCTTCCAGCACTATGGCTACCGCTGCTTTACTGCCCCATCAATTCTATGGCTGCAAATTATTTTTCCCAAAATTTGCAGGAGAGATGCAACAGCTGAAGAAGCCTAAGGTAAAATGCCTTTGTCAGCCCGAGATCTCACCTTAATTCCACCTAATAACTAACATGTGCATTTATTGTCAGATGGCCGTTTTCAAGGGTTGTTCAACAGCTTTGTAAAACTGAAGAAACTTTCCCTTATTTTACAAATTCAGAAGCCAAGGCGGAGGGAATTTTAGTGTCGTGGTCAAGGCTGGGAAGCCATTTCACTGTGAAATGGGGAACACAACTCTCATACTTACCAATTATCAGTATTTCACTGTAAATATTCACTGCCTTTCCAAATACATACTTCATTTCAAAATTAAATTTTCACAAAACTATAATAATGCTGCCATTGCTAAAAATGTGACATGCACTTGTGTAGGCAAATGCCCTTCGTTAGTGGAAGCAATGTGCTTCACAATCTTTGGATGAAAGACTATACAAACATAAATTCAAATAACTTTTAGAATAATTTATATCCTTGTTACTCTTTGGTAAGCTAGCAACTGTCTGGTTTTAAAAAAAAATAAATCCCATACTTACTACAGTTGGTGTTCCATGGTAAAACAGAAATGTGGTATTACTGAAAGTAGCACCAACAACCTGAATTTCATATATGTCCCCCACACACTTTACAGCAAAGCTGCTGAAAATCGTGCCCTTCTAAAGTCCTTTCTTGTAGTAGTCCACTTTTCAGTGTCATATCATCCATTGTAGCAATGACTTGCTGATCAAATCCATGTGACATTCTTTCAAAATTAGTAATTTACAGAAACACAATCAGTAGAGCATTTTTGATCCTAATGTAATGAGATGTAGGATAAGATTCTGGGGATCAGAACAAGGCAATCAGAGGAATAAAGTATGGTCACTCACCTTTCCACCATGTGCGTCTGGTCCAGTGATAACCCATCAATTGCCGTACATTCTGGACATTTGAACTTCTTTCGTGGGGTCACCTGCAGAAAGGCACGCCAGATATCATCAAATATCAACAGAAGGGACATTAATCTCCTTCCACAGAGAGCAGCACAATACCTCTGAACATGCCTGCAGTGTAAGATGAGCTGTCTCAAAAAAAAAAAAGGGGGGGGGGTTGACTGGTCAGGGGGGTGGTGTTAAAAAAAAAAAGACACTCCATTCCTCCATTCAGCTCCATCTGGTCCGGCTGACTGCAAAATTCACAGGGGCCCAATAAAAATGGCTTGGAGGGGTTTTTCCTTCTGTAACTGCAAAGAAGTGGCGATGACAAGCTCCTTAATTCCTGTTTAATGACTGTTTTCTCACTGCCAAGGTCCCTGTATAAACACCATTTGTTCTTGCAGCCATAACAGCGATGAAATATAGCTTCCCATACTCCACCGTAACGTTAATCCAACAGACGCTCTTTTGCTCACTCCAGTTAATAGCTGACTGGCAAACTCTGCAAGACTCTCCGAATCGCTCAGAGGTGCCAAATTACTCTGCTGTGCCCTCATACAGCTCAAAAACTTTTTCAGCAAAAACACACACTTTATCTTCTGAAGGCTTTTCTAGGAAACGCAGCCACCAGTCCCCGTAAACGATGATGGACAGATCGGAAAATGGACCCTGTTAATTGAAGTAACGCCTGGTGGCCTCTAAATCTCATTCCAAGTTGACACGCTTGGAAATGAATGTACAGAGTGAATGTCCAGACCTGAAAACGTGTCGAAACATGTCAGGAAATTAATTCAGGGATAAAAAGTTCATTTAAAGCTGATCTTGCAATTAACATTCTTGCAATTAACATTCCTATAAATCAGCTGTTGCCAGGCCATGACAGAGCGAGCTGTGGACAGTTGGCAATTTCTTTCCTCTAGTGATCCCAAATAGTTAGAATATATGTATTTGGGCATCTATATATACACACATATATATAGCTATCATTTAAATTACCTTTTCCGTACCTCATCTAGATGGCTAAATTAACCAGCAGAAACAATACTCTCTTCCCAGTTCCCATAGAAGTTTTACTAAAAGGGCTTTTCTACCATGGAAGGAGAACAAGACACCATACCAGCGGTGAATTAGAGAAAAAGGAAGATTAAGTAATACATTGAAGCCTACTAAATAAATCTATATGACCGTGCACATCATGTTTTTAAACTTTGTGAAGTGAAACTGCAGAAAAGTCCCACCTTAATGACTGATTTGCCAGTGACATTTGCCACAAGAAAATTCATGGCAATATCTTCACAATTCATATGTGCATCCACCCAGTTCTTGATGTCTCCAGGCATTTTGTAAGTGTAAAGATAGTTGAAATACTGCAGGATAGAAGGAGAGAGAGATAGAAGATAATTTTAGATACAGATGCAGTAACTATGAGACTAAATATTTCACTCACTGAACAGCAGGCAGCTAAGGATGGATTATGGGCAAACTGTGATACTGCCTTCAGCCAAGAACGACTTTAGCAGATAGAAAAATCATTTTGTAAATACTGCTTTCCTGACCAGTACAGAGTTTCTTTACAATCGTTTTTCTTTTCTTAAACTGCTAGCTACAAAGATACATCCACTGCAAAATTCGCTGTGTCAGGTCTTGCCAAATGGCCAGAGTTGTTCTTGAAGTTCATGAAGGTAACTTTTATTTTACAGGCAGAGACCAATCAGCTGTTTTCTGGAAGAGGCTTAGCGAAAGTTTGCCACTCGTTGTCTAACTGTTGTAGAAAACATAATCATGGCACCACCAACCACAGAACAATAACAGAAACACAGACAGCTCTTTAGAAAAGCTTCATGTTGCACATTAGCATACTACAAGCTGTGCACTACCTTGTGGTAAAACGCTGCCCCAGTGAGCACCATTGAGACTTCATTGGTCCATTCCGATTCATATTTCCATTTGTTCATCTCATGGTCCCAAAGATGCAGGCGGCCTGGATATCCAACCAACCTGTCAGGGAACTCACGCCAAACCTGAAGAGAAGAAACACACGTGATGCACTGCTACCCAGGCCTGCACAGCAAGCAAACACAAACGGGCAGCTGCAACACATCTGCTGTGGGAGGGTAGAGTTACAGTGGTGCAAAGACCACTTCAATTCTTTTAAGTCCCAATTCTTGGAATAGTAAGCTGTCTGGAGGAAGTACGAAAAAGCCCAAGTTCGCTTTGTAAGGACACTACAACTCAGGGAAGCCATGCCCCCAGAGCAAAAGGCCACTTAAGCAATACTACCTTCCTTGATGCAGAGAACCACAACCGACTATTCAAAAAAGATTTAACACTAACTAAACCCAAGCCTGATTAAAATGAACTTTTGATGTTAACTTCAGTAGATATGGCTACAACCTAACTACTTTCACAGCTGGCTTTAGATCTAACCAACCTGCTTCCTTTGATAGGAACAGGCTTAAAACAGGCTTATATTTTAATATTTCTGGTATTCTTTAGTGGGTGCTTGGATGGATCTACTGCTACATGGAAGGCCTCTTTGCCCTTGACTTGTTCCAGACAGCTGGATACAATCAAGATACCATCCTTGTCACTCCATACATTATTTGGTAGCTGACTACAGGATCAAACACAGTAGACAAGAACAAGGAGAAGGCCATCATTAACGCAACCCCAGTTCTCCACACTGCTGGCCACATTAAATAATGGACAATTTTTATGTTAGGAAAAAATTGGAGAAAGGATTATAATTATTTAGAAGGGTCTGAATGCTATTTGATTGCTAAATACACAGTTTGTCTTTTTTTTGATCCAATTCTGATTATTTGCAGACAGATGACTCAAAATTTGTCCTTTAATCCAAATTACTGCTAGGTTTGTTGGAAGAATATGAGTCTTGACGCTCTGACACACAGTGTTAGGTCACAAGAGTTTCTGTTTCAGGTTCGTAGTGTATAAATAACAAACACCCAAATTTCATTGTGTATGCAAGATCAACAACAACAAAACATCTCGTAAATCCCCAGCGGTCACTTCACTAGCAAACCTCTTTTCTCCATACAAAGGGCAAGGGAACCCTGCAGGTGAATTTGCCGTGAGGAAAGCCTTGCCTGGAATTCCACCATCCTGCAAACCTCACCTTGTCAGCAGTGTGCTTTGGGCACTTCTCGGGTGCCACTATGCTTCTGCTGGGAGACCTGGAGTATAAGGACTCTATGCAAGCATTTTGTCACAGTAAATATGATAAAACAATCAGGTTTAAGTTACGGCTTCTGTATCTATGTTTCTGTGATTCTGCATTACTATTATACCTTTTCATCCATACATCTCAACACATTTTATTGCTGTCAGTTAATATAGCTTCAGAATCCCATGATGAGAGCAGTTATTATTTCAAACATACAGATGAGGAAAACTGCCAAAAATCATACAGGAAACAAGAATGGGAACCAGATCTTTTGACTCCTCGACTTGTACTTTATCCAGAAATCAATCTTTCTGGACAGTTCTAGGGCACAAGTACTGGGATAGTATTTAGACAGGACAATGCTCTAACAGAGGGCTCTTTAAAGCAGAGATGTTTTGAAAGAGAATTCATAGAATGTTGTTACAAGTTGGTGCGTCAGGTAATTAAAAAATGCAGATTTCTGGCAAGCCAGCGAGGGCTTGGGATATCTATTTTGACATGATGTCAAAAACATAAACAAAGACCAAAACGCCAAAAGTATGGCCACTCCCTCTTCCAGAATTTCATTCCTCACTCTCTAGCACTGAAAAAATTAATGATTTAATTTTAATTTTTTTTTTTTTAAACCTGACTATTAAACCGCCTGTCTCCCAGCTGTTGGAAGGCACCACCACATAAGGTACTGGGGCTCAACAAAGGATTTGACAGAACACTACGGATCTGCAGCGTACTGGGCTCAGAATTCTTGTAGAGGGAATGGCATGCGTATTAAAGGCAGCTGAAAGAAAGATTAAACTCAGCTACTGCTTCCCAAGGGACTTCAGTGCCTTCACAACACAGAACTGTAGATTCATATCCCTTCTAGTTTTTGCCCTTGGTGTCATCGTCAAGAGTGCAAACAACATAAAATAAAAGCCAACTATGATGCATGTTACTTACAGAGATTTCTTTGTACCGCTGTAAAGCTCAAAGCTACCTTGACTATGGCCCCTGAAAATTGTCAGTTTGATGCATCTAAAAAATAATTTGGTTGCTTTAAACAAAGATTCCTTTTAAAAGTAATGCTATCAAAGTCAGTGGAAAAGATTGGCTTTTCTGTAATGTTCAGAATCTAGCTTATTCAATGGTAGTTCCTGGGAAGACTCCAAATAGCTGCATCCAGCTCATTGCCCAGATCCATACATATGTTTTGTGCCAAAATTAATATATACAGCTACTGCTTTATAAGGAAGCTTTCAGAACAAAAATACTAGTAATGATTTTTATACTACTCTCTATTTTGTATTATGGCCCATTTTCTTGTTTGACGGTTGTCTATAATTTATTAGTCTGTTAGGAATACATTCCATTTTAGCGAGTGATCTTATTAGCTTTCTCAAACTAAAGAGGGATAGCCTGATTTAATACTGGTAAGGGACACATCCAAGGAAAAACACACTGCCAAGTGAAGAGGAGGTATGCTGCTTTGTGGACAACACTATTCCACTGACTCTGCTACACAACTCTGAAGATAAATACTCTTGGACAAAGCATCTCCCAGATGGAAGCGAAAGAGAAGATTTGGTCGTTTTACTAAAAATCTCGTAAGAGACACCAAGGAAAATTATAGTAATTTTGTTTCCAAGTCAAGTTCCCCAAGTGAAAACAGACCAGCTAAAACACCCTCCAGCCTCACCTCCGCACAGATCTCTCTGCCTCCTAACCTCAACCGTGCCGTTCCACTGTGCCATCAGAACAGCTCCCACAGCTCATTCTCCATGTAGCTGGAACACAGAGAAGCACTTCCTTTTCCAGAATATACTCCAACATCTATGCATTAAATTTACTAGACTATATTAAGTCACATGCAACTTCAGGAATTGGCTAATTGCAACTAGAAAAAAATGTAATTTAATAAATACAAAAACTAATCAGCATTTCCAAAGGTGCTACGGCAACATTGCAAGAATGAAACACTGACTCATCTACAAGGGAAAGAAAACCCAATCAGTCAGTAATCCTCCTCTCCTCCCGGAGCCTGATCCACCCTCTTAATTCTGCCCTGGTCTTTGAAGAGATGGCTTGTGCTATTATTAAAATTAGCAAAGCAAAATGTAAACACAAAGCCCACTAAAAGACAAGTGATACTTCACATGCACATAATTTGTAAAACACTTCAATTTGAAGGAGAGCTTTGAAAGTGGCCAGCAGTTACTCATGGAGAAGTCTTTTGGTAAGGAGCATTCTATTATTTCTTCTTTAAAGAAATGCTGAAAAATACATTTTTAACAGTCAAAATGGGTATAGAAGAATTCATCTAAAGAAGGCATTCAAACTTTATGATGATTTTAGCCTAGTGAAATATGCAATTCATCAGAGAATTGCTTTTTTTTGAAGAATGCCCCAGAGACATGAAGCACTGAAAACTAGCTCTGAGACAGAATCAGATGATCTCTACTAGCAGTAGGCAAAAAGCTTCCAATAGAAAAACCCACAAACTTAGCAGTGCACAAAGTAATATTTTCTATGAACAAAAACATGCACTCAGAGTAATAATGCAAATTTCTATTATTGCTGTAATAAGAATACTTTCTCTTTGTAAGGACGAAGGGCTGCCTAAGTAGCTAATAAGAAATCTTCATAAACTTCATACTTGGAAACAGTTATCCCCACTTTTTAGGGTGATAGAAATGCCAACCCATCTGTGCCGAGGCTGGCTGAGGTGGGAACACGACAACGCGTGCTTTCAGTCCCACATTCAAACACCAAACACTTCAGAAGCAACCAACGGTTCTGCTTTAATGTTCTTAAGATTATGATAATCTAAATACTTGCTCCGTTCTTTGGGTTTCTCTGATATTCCCTCTGTGAACAACAAAGATCGGTACATGAGGAAAAAGTTGTCTAGCCCTAACAGTTTTTCTTCCAGTGCCCCAAGTCACGCCTGTGATTTCATCGCGTAACTTAACAGAAATACTTCTTTCAAGTCAGAATGTCATGAGTATTCTTCTGCTACCTTAAGACAGCAGCACACACGGACTCTTTTTCTGCTTGCTCCAATAGATTTACGCAATGTCATAAATCACTGTACCATAATAGTTCACTTTTAACAAGTAAAAAATGTCTGACACTTTGAGTGTTACTATAATTTTTTATGGCTGAAAGTGTACAGAGATCAAAGTGTTCTGGGTTTTTTAGGCTTGCTGTATACATTCAGACAAGTCTGTGACAGAGGGGGTTTTGCCACATGTTTAAATGTAAAGTCTCAAGAATGTCAGGAGGAGAAGAGAAAATTACTGAATGTCACGTTTCCAGCCCTTCTTATGACCAAAGCAGAAGCAGACATTCTTTTAAAGAAAACTTTCTAGTAACATTATATGCTGCTACTGTTCCCTCTGGATTCCCCTGCAAATGAGTCAAGAGCTTGGGAGATACTTTTCTGGTAACACACATATACAGATAAATAAATTATCACAGGCTGAGGACAATTTAAACATCTGGGAGCCAGCTCAGACCTGTCAAGCAAGTCACAGACACTCAGGGACAGGAAAGATCAATCTTCAGCCCCTGATTTCTGTGCCAGAGAGTAGGAACTACAACACCCACCCTCTATAAGAGGAAAATTGTGTATTTATAAAATAATCTGCTGTGCTTCTGTAGTCAGGGACACTTCTATTCCTGTATTTTACAAGAAAAGAAAGCCATCTCAAAATATAAGGGCTCAAACTAACCACAGGTTTGTTTCAACTATCTGCTCAATAAGGCATTTTAATTTTCCATCAATGTGGCTATGTAACAAGCTGAATTCCCAGAATCAAAAAGGAATAGGATTTATAATAAAATGCAAAAAACTACAAAAGCGATAGTTTTTAGTCTGCCAGACTAAACAACCCTGTGTCCAAACAGTTACATTCACACACTGAATATAAGGACTGTTACTCGGATAGTCCCTGCACCCAATGCATATGTTCCACAGAAGGCCAGTAAGTGAGCCAGCAGAGCCCAACAGCTAGACCTGGGGATGGAGAGTTTAAGTCAGAACCTCCACCCAACCACACTAACTGCAGAGCAATTCACATCAACATTTCTTTGCCTCGTTTTTTTTTTCCCCATGAGCATAACTCTCTCCTAAGTGACCAGTCTCAATACATGTGAAGTTACAGATATTCTCCACTGAGGATGTTAATTTGAACACTTCAGACACACGAGCTCTACTTCTCACGACTTCTGGCTCACACAGCTGAAACTCAGCTGCAGCCTGAATCTCTGCTTTGAAGCCCTCCAAGCCTGCTTTGCCAGTAGCAGAGATTCATTTGGAACTACTTACACAGTCACTTAGGTTTTTATAAAACTTATTTTTATTTACTTTGTGACAGCTTGATGAAAATGAAAATCAAACTGCAAGCAGAGCCAGGATTTACATAGCATGCACGTATGGATTTGCTGTCTTTCACCCCATCAGTTCACCCTCAAAACGACTAGTTCTAGCACCAACAGAGACAGAAGTCAGCCAGCTGGCAGTACTGCCAGCACTTGATTGCTCTGCTGTTGCACTGCAGTGCTTAAAACACTCCATGTAGGCAACAAAGTACAGAGAAGGCATATGTGGCCAAAAAAACGCTTCCTTCAGTTGTCTTCTCCTCATTCCATCTTTCACACTTCATGTACTAACTCGTTACTCTTAACCTGGCAAGGGAAGCATTTCCTTTCTGGAGACACACATGATAGATTAAACCTCTGTCTCCACCACTTAACATCTTTGTTATTACACCAGCATACCTACATTACCACAAGTCATTTCTTGAGTCCAAAAGCTCATTACTTGCTAACAGTCCCTTTCACTTGAGAGGAAGAAATAGCCATATTACCACATACGTATTCACACTGAAGAAATACTTTCAGCATCTCTTATAAAATATCTTCTTGTATTAACAGCCATGCTGAAGGTTGTTAAAAATGAGACAACTATCATAGTTTACTTTCTACCCTTTGGAAGAGTGGCTTTCATCATTTCACTCAGTTTAGGTAATAGTTTTGTGTTCTAGTTCTCATGTATGAAGTCCGGTGGTGTTTTGCTTTTGATACTGCAGGTACAGGTGTGACTGAATTATTCAGACCTTTCTTAAATATGATCTCACGTTTTCTAAAGTTTTGGATTTACTGACAAATATGGCGTGTTTGTCTTAAATTCATGCATATAACAGTAATGCAGATTATGGACTGTGTCACATACTCCAATACAAACGGAAGACAAAAATGAACTCATCCAAACTACAGGTTTGGAAGGAAGACATCGGTGTTGCTTTAAGTAACCGCACTTTTTAACAGACGACTCCAACGCCTATGAAGACTTTCACCTCTTTGTACTGCCATGGGTAACTGATTTGGACAAACTTTCTTTTTGTTGATACACTCATTACAACAGCAGCTGTTGAAGCTTTGCCATTTTGAGCATGTGACACATGCATCCCCTCCTTGACATTCTGCAGTTCCTCTTTCCGTTGCACTCCACCTTACTGTGGCATGTCCTCAAGAGGCCTTCTCTGTTCCCAACACTTAATCTCTGAAACTTGTCTCGTCAATCAAGACACATTAACTTGGACAGTACTTCTGATTTGTCTGAAAACTGTTGGAAACTTGTAAGAAGAATGCAACTCACAGTCTCCAGACTGCTTCCATTACACCAATTGCACAACATTTTCTGGAGCCTCTTGGCATTACTGTGACAGTTCCCGAAAATTTTCAGTTATCTGGCAGTTTTCTCCACACAGTAATGCCTATCTGTGAAAATATTGCAGTCAGCATTTAACTGTTACGGTAAAGAGAGATCTGAATCGGCAGACTGCAGTAATTCCTCCACTTCATATACACAGACAATGTTGAAGTGGACAGCCTAAGAGACAGGAAAAAACCCCAACTCTCTTACCTCATAGCCGAACTGGAGTTCATCTGAGGTTAACATAATGATATCATCATCAATAGCCAACACTGCTTCTGTTTCAATAAAGAAGCGGTTACTGAGTTTGTTCTCTGCAGTCCTAACAACTTTCAGGGGAACACGAATCTTTGGCCAGAGGGAATCTAGAGAGAAAAATGAAAAGAAATGGAATTCAATATTATACTTTGCTTCTGAACGAGTCTGCACATCTGTCTTAGCTTTTCTTTACTCTTTTTTTCTTCACATCTTAAATAAATGCTACTTAATGGCCAATTTACTTTGCAAACATGTAAGCATATGAAGGCAAGAGGCAGAAATTCAGCTACGTTTCCCTCTTTTGCTCTCTACAGACAGCTTCACAGACAGCTATACAGGGGATAGCTTTCCCAGAACAGCAGTCTGCAATAATCACATAACAATAGTTAGTGACACTACGTATTGGTTTAGGACATACAACAAGAAAAGATATTTTATTCCACTGCAACTATTAAAAATAATTTGAAGGAGCAGTATACGATCGCTGACTGCAAGTCTAGAGTCATAAAGAATTTGAAAAAGAATGTTAGTTCTATCAAGTGCTGAGAAAAATAAATTTTATTCTATGAATTAAAAATCTAGATACACTTGAAACGTTAATCACTATTAACAGTTAAGGAGTACATTCTGCGTTCAAGTAATTTTTTTCATCTTCAAAGTCCTAAGTGATAGTGATAAATTAAGCTAGATAAATGCAAAAGGAATCTACTTGTGCCCTACAGCATCGTTACAAGTAGAACAGAGCACTGGAGCACATAATCATGAAAATTCACTAGACAAATGATGCTTTAACTAGCAACAAAAACCCCCTGTAAGTACAAAACTGGATCCAATTCACTCTTCAGCAAAATTAGATTTCCATTTCTTGCTATGTGTTTAAAATGTAGTACCTTACGTTTCACATTAACAACTTCTGCAGGCTTTTGCATATATTAAAAAATTTTCAAAATCCTATTCTACTCCTACAAAGGTATAACAGCAGGGACAAGAATAAAGCATCAGGCTGAAAGAAACACAACTAAGGACCAAATATTAAACATTAGTTCTAAATGCACATATTTAACCATATACAGTTTATAGCGCAAAGCTAACAGTAGTCATTATTACAGTACTATGCATCCCAAAAGCACCAATTCATCAAAAAGTAGTTTAATTAATAGCTAAACAAACAGCTGAACAAGTACAAAGGCGATTTGTTGCCTTCTTCCAGCTTTCACAATAAACATATATTTTAATAAAGATTTGAGGGAAAAAGAGAGCACTGTAAGATGAGTCTGAGCACCTTGTGAATAGTAGATAGATGAAAACTCGAGTTTCTTACACTGGTGAAATGGAGGGAATGACAATAGTGTATCATAAGAAAAATAAGTGAAAATACTTTACATCCTCTATAGAGTGACTGCTCAGAGAATTTGTAAGTTGTTCTCTGTGTCAATGATAACATGTATAAGGATACACCTTGAGGGGGGTGATCCTTCCCCTCTGCTCAGCACTGGTGAGGCCACACCTGGGGTGCTGTGTCCAGCTCTGGGCTCCGCAGTACAAGAGACATGGACTGACTGGAGAGGAGTCCAGCAAAGAGCCACAAAGATGATGAACTGGAGCATCTCTCCTATGGGGAAAGACTGGGAGAGTTGGTAACTGTTTAGCCTAAAGAAGAGAAAGCGTAGGGAGTGCCTCATCAAAATGTACACATACCTGACAGGAAGGTGTAGAGGAAACTGAGCCAGGGTCTTTTCACTGGTGCCCAGTGACAGGACCACTTACATTTACTATGAACATCTACAAGAAAAACTTGCTTCCAGGAACGAGCATCCATGTCCTCACTGCCACTGGGCCTCTCAGATTTAACAACTCACACAACACTCAAAACACAGAGCTGCATACTGCTTAAAGACACCAGAATCCAAACACTGCTTCACTGGGAAAACAATGCCATCTTTCCAAACCACACCGAGAGTCTTCAAAAGTCAGTTTGTCTTGGAGCTGGATTTTAGAAAGAAGGCTTGGCATGCATGGGTGGCCAAAAGAAAGGAGAAGAAGTACAGAGTGATATTTACTGGCAAAATTTGTATTGTTTCCTACCGTGGAGTTTTCCCTGTGAGACTGAAAAAGAGACTGTAAAATCTACCTTTATCTGGGTGGTCTTGTAGACCATGGCCTGTACTTGACACACATGCGGGTTCTGGTCCAGGTTTAATCATGTCTTTTCCTTCTAGCAGAAGGCAAGAGGCACCACCCCAAACACCAATGCACACTTCAGTGGCTTGTTAGCCAGTCAGAAGGATTCAGCCACGCTACTGATGGGCTCCAGTGGAAGTCACACTCAGCCAGCAGCTGGGGAGGTACAGCAAGTGCCTTGAGGTCACAACAAAAAAGTTCAAGAGACGTGGATTCTAATCACAGTGCAATGAGCTCATTTTATTCTCCGCATCGTAAAGTCTTTGAAATCCCCTGCTTGCACCATAATCTGAAACAATGACGCTAGTAGGACACCACTGAAACTGCAAACTTTTCATATAACTAGTTAGCCACCCTAACCTCAGGAGGCAGTAACACCGAATGACTGGAAGCATTTATTGCAAATCAGCGCACAAGTCAACTTGCCACTTTCTTACTGGTTTACCATACAACATGCAAGTATCCATATTTATAAGACAGTTGCAGGTACCTCACAAAGACACATATCATGGCCCCATTAAGACTGCAGACTGTTTAACGTTTGTGAGCTACTTAAAGACCTCAGGCTAACTGACTATAATTATCCAAGTATAATTGCAATATTAGTATCAAATAATTTGAAGCAGCTTTCTAGATCCCCAGAAAACTCTACTGTCACAGGTGTTTCAGTAGCAATCAGAATTGCCATAGCTATGTATGCATTTGTTAATTTGTATTTGAAAGTATCAACAAAGTTCATGTTTTATACATGTTAAATATTCAGGCATTTCTTCCTTTCAGGTTTGCTACACATAAAAAGAAGACAACCAAATTGCAACAAAGATCTTCTTTCAGTTCAGGAATATACTGAAACTGGAAAGTCACTAGGATAGAAAAATACTAATTGCTAAAAGCAAGCATGGACACTAAACTTCTAGGTCTTTGGAAAAATCAACTGATTCCTTAGTAACAGACATGCCACTTCCATAAAAATATCATAACAGAAGAAAAAGTAATGAAAAGGGTATGAAAAATGAAGGTGTAATCTAATTATAGACAGCAGCCATCTCAGATGTCAGTAAATCCTGTTAAATCCCCATGATTTACTAAGGTCTTGGAAAGTCTTCCAAAATGACCAACTCTCAAAAAGAGGTATGTTACTGTAACACATTTGTGTTTTGAGAAACATAATACAAAAGTTTTTGAATTTGGACTTAAATTAATGAACAGAAAATATTATCAATTTGGAGAAACTCTGAACAAGACCATCAGGGTACCAGTCTCTCTGCAGCAAGCAAAATGAAAGAAAGCGTAAGACTACCTGCTCCCTAGAGCTTGGTCCGATACCACGAGCTGCTGTACCTACAGAGATGGGAGCGCATGGGAGATGTCACGACACAATGACACCTAGGTAGCCACTTTGGCAACTTGGGCAAAAATGAGTAACCGCTCAGAGATCCAAGTATCCGAAAACAGCCTTGCTGCAGGAACTCCAAAAGAAATACACAGGCAGTAAAGAAAGACAAGAGCTACTTCAGAAGTCGAAGTTTTAGAACTCATCAGAAAGGTTAAAATAGTCAATATTTATTAAAAAAACAAAACAAAACAAACAAAACCACAAGAGTATTTGCACTTTTCTTTTTTTTTTAAACACACAGAGAATGTGGCTTACATAGAAGTCAGAGACAGGGTCTGTCACTACTGTAAAATCATGCTCTGAATTTTCAGCTACTGTTTGGAAAGTTGTGAGAAACCTCAGCACCAGCAAAACATATATGGGGGAAATTCCCAGTTTAAACAACTTTATTATAACCAAGGTAAAAACACATGCTTTAATCTTGCAGTGAGAGGACACTGCATCACTTAACAGAGTATGGCAAAGATCAAAGAAAGCTCAAGATAAGAAGGCAGATGAAGCCTTAAAATACAGCATGAGAACCTTTAAGGATACAAAAGTAAAAACGCATATCAGGAAGAAGTTCTTCACGGAGAGGGTGGGGAGGCAGTGGAACAGGTTGCCTAGAGAAGCTGTGGATGCCCCATCCCTGGAAGTGTTCAAGGCCAGGCTGGATGAGGCTTTGAGCAACCTGGTCTAGTGGAAGGTGTCCCTGCCCATGGCAGGGGGGTTGGAACTAGATGGGCTTTAAAGGGCCCTTCCCACCCAAACCATTCCATGATTCTATGTTTGGACTAGGATTATTCTCACTACTTTTAAAACCAGTGAGGACTTTCAGTCATGCAGCAGAAGACAGAGGTAAAACATGAAAATAAAACTATGTGGAGTGTATAAAAGCCTATGTGTATACAGAATCTGAAGAGAATGACAGGCGGCTCCTATTGCACATCATACTGAAATAATTACGAGAGAAGACTGAATAACACTTACACTTGCTCTTTGGCAACAAGACTTGGGGCATTCTTGGCACTTTGTGCTACTTAGGACTACTGATGCACTGATTGCAGGAGCTGCCCACAGAAAACAGCATGTGGTCTTCTGAACACAAACTCAGCAGTTTCCCAATTTTTCCAAATGCAGCTTTCACTTCTAATAGGCTTACAATCCCTAACAACCACACACATGGCTGTACTTCTGGCCAGCCAACTATCCCACCATTAAGTCCTGCAAGTCCGCAACTCACAGCAAATTTTTCAAGCATGATTTCAACATGATTTCCACAAATTGCAGGATCAAAAAAGTGCCATAATTACATTCCCATTTAAAACACTCATGTACAGAAGAGCAGCAAATTCCCTGTCCTCTAAATACACATTTCTCAGCTACAACTCCTAGCGAATTACATGAAAGACATAAGGAAAAGAAGGGAGGACAATCATGAGAAAGGCAACTGCGTTATAACCTGAAGGAACACCCTCCCACACCGAAGAACCTTTTCACACCTCCCTAGGCTGGCCATCAGATGTTTGTAACAAAAACGTAAGTAATGTA